GTCATTATTCAACACATTGTTATTGTTAAATAAATATCGTCAAATAATCGAGATCTCAGTGAAAATAATCGAGATTATCATTTTTGCCATAATCCAGCAGCCCTAATAGTATGTATTATATTATGTAGTAAACTGCTGTTTCCTGTTGCTGCTGTGTGTAAAGTTGCAGTCAAAGGTTTACATGAATGTCAGAGTAATGTTGGACTTCACAGCACAGACCTCAGACCAGAACCATCGGCAGGTTGAAGCAGCTTAAACAGCACCGAGTGTGAAAAGTGCCTGAAGCAGGTTATCAGCTGTCGTTGGCTCGGCACTGAGATCAGCCAGTTTCTGAAACTATTTATGCTCAATTATACCAAGTTGTTATAACCGTTCAGCTGCTCAGTTTGTGTTTTATTTACTTTCCTGTTACAATAGCAGAGCTGTGAGCGCAGCAGTGACGTGGGCAGCTGAGCTATTGCTGTGCGCAGTGATGCTCTGCTGTGAACAAAGAAAACATCTTCAGATTTCTACTTATTCAGAGTGGAAAAAGAGTAATGACCACAATTAACTGTCAGTAACTGCAGTATTTAAGGTGAGATAATGTAGCCACATTACTCATGTCTGCCTCCAGTAATGGGATTACACTGCTGTTTTATCCAGGAGCAACATCTCAGCGTATCATTTTGTGTTGTTGTGGATGAAGAGTGCTCTCTTATATCCTGTTATGTGAGGCTGCAGAGTCGTGATATAGTCGCTCTCTCCACTCTGCTCAACGCTGTAACAGCTGTGGCCGACTAACCTGCTGTTTGCAGCCAAATCTACCTGAACGTGGTGACGACTCAGAAACGCTGGATTTCATGTACGGCTTAAAACGTCTCATTACTGCGCACGGAGACACGGCGACCTCCAGAGTGTCCTGAAACATGAATTCAACTTCAAACACTTCCACCTTAAAAGAGACAGAATATTTAAGCTGCCATAAATTCACACTTCAAGCTAAACGAGAAAAAATTAGTTCCTGGCCAACAATCCTCGCCATCATTGAATAATAACATATTCTCACTAATCGTAGCCTAATGCCAGGTACTCAGCCTGTGGCAGTGGAAATAGCAGAAGGATCCTGAAAATCATAACGAACTTGACAGATTCATGAAAGCAGCCGTCTCACACTCAGCTAATGGACTCATCATCTTTCTGTTTTAGCTGTATTTAAGTTTCAGTGAATTTCACCCAGTCAAATGAGCACAGTTGGCTCTCGTGATGCAAAGTCTACCCACATCATCCTCGGGGTACAATGAGAACGCCCCTAAAGCAAACTAATTAGCATCGCAGCTAGTCTTTCACCTTCTCTCCTGCAGCGTGGATATGATCAGACGAGTGTCACAGCCTCTGATCTGCTCGTGGTTGTGTCTGAGTCACCGCAGAAAACAATTCATGCTTTCTGGTTTCCAGGGAAAATCGACTAAAGGAGTCTTCCAGGACAATAACTGCAGGCTGTGGACTGACCTTGGGCTTGATTCACAATAACGACCAATCAGAGGAACACTCTGAGAGCCCAGCGTTAACCGGCAGCAACGATGTTTGCTTCTTTTCTTTCTATACTTGCCACGACCTGATTGAATGCTTCATTTGAGGACTCTGTTTTTACAACCATGCCAGCACATTTCTGTAGAAAAGATACAGATTCTTTCTAAATGACATGAATGACTTACACATTGGAGACGTGACAGCTTTGTCCCTGTTCTGAAGTTTAGAGGAATAATAATAAGTGTCAGCGTTTCTAAATTCAAGGATGGTTCAACTGAACGCAAAACTCATCACCCTACGAGCATCTACCAGGCTGACGCTGTCCAAACCAAAGCACGACACTAGAGGACTAACTCGTAGGAAAAACAATAAAATATGAACTCGGTTCAATTAAAATGTATTTACATATCACAGAATTGCAACAACAGTCACCTGAAGGCGCTGAATATTATCACAAACCTGTGAGGGGAAACCCCCACACAGTGCATTATAATCAACCTGCGTAGCAATGCTGGCTACTCTTTACAGACTGATCACAGCAGATGGCCCCGCCCCTCCCTCAGCCTGCTGGAGGTTTCTTCCTGTTAAAAGGGAGTTTTTCCTTCCCACTGTCGCCGCTCATAGGGGGTCATATGACTGTTGGGTTTCTCTCTGTATGTATTATTGTAGGGTCGACCTTACAAAGCACCTTTAGGCGACTGTTGTTGGCGCTGTGTAAATAAAACTGAATTGATGGACCTTTGTTTATAAACTGAGTTGTTGTCACAGGTTTAGTCGTTTGTTATGAGTGACTATATGTTTGTTATATATCTGTTTGCATCATTACTGAACCACAATTAAAGAACAAGCACAGTTTGAGATTTTCACGTGAAGCTGAATTTTTGAGACACCCCAGAAACACAAATGTTGACGTGAGCCTGGTTTTTCACGCGGTGTCACATGTGCTTGTTCATCGAGCTGCTAACATCCAGTCGTAACAGGTTAAAACTTCCACAAATGCTAATAATTCCTTCATGACTCTTTTATGGTGCAGGATTGTGGTTCTTTCATGCTCTGGTCTTTTGTTCGAAAGATGTTTTCTTGCACAAAAATAAAATGAAGATACTGGACAGATAAGACAGGTGCAGGTGATGGAGCTGGGTGTGTTTCAGTCTTGGACTGTATGCTGTAAATACAGCATCATCTGATCTGTGGTGCTCTTTATCATCCAACACCCCACAGCTATCAGTGCAATGCTATGCAACATCTGCTGAAATGTATAAGTCGGTGTGCTAAATCCACAAATAGCAACAAACATCTGAGCCCCAACAGGTCCAGTGAGAACGCCTGCCCACAAAGACAAACGCTCAGTCTTATTCGGAGTCATTTTTCTTCCCAAACACTAAACCTCAGGCTTCTCGCACCTTCCAAATCCCACCTTCACCTGTGATTGTGACGGACATTCATCCACACAGATCGCTGTTATCAGATTATGTCAAGAGAGTTTGAGCACCTGTGTATTTCACTTTGCTTCATGTCACAGGCCAACGCCGTTACGTAGCGTTTAAAGACAGCATATTATTAGTTTAGTCAAAGAACACGGTGATCTGCAGTTTATAGTTGCTGGTTTGGCTCAGTCTTTCCTGCATAGATGGACCGCAGCTTAGGACAGTGATGAGGCCAGATGTTGGAGCTGGGAGGAAGCGGTTTGCAAAGCAGCTTGCAGTTATAGAGGACACTGTACGATCTGTCAGTTGAATGTGTAAAAGGTTATCATCAGCTGATGCTGAACTGGCTCATCTGCTGGAGCCTGTATGAACTCATGCTCAGTTTTTGGCTAATGGTGCATAAGCAGAAGCTGACTAAAGGTCTAATGGTCTGTATTTGTTTGCTTTACTC